AAACAAACGCATTCCCAATTTCCCCGATTCAGGATACATTGGCGTCTACTTTGCCTGGGGTATATCCCAATCCCTCGTGACCTACTGCTTTGGCGTCTTCTTCGCCTTCGCGTCAACCCGAGCGGGCCGCGTCCTCCACAAAGCCTCCATCACCCGCGTCCTCCGCGCCCCCGTCTACTTTTTCGACACGACACCGTTAGGCCGCATCATCAACCGTTTCAGCAAAGACCAAGACAGCATGGACACCCAACTCTCCGACGCCTTCCGCATGTTTTCCACCACCCTCGCGGGAACCCTCGCCACCTTCGTTCTCATCATCTACGCCACACCGTTGTTCGCCGCGCCGTTGGCACCCGTTCTTGTCCTGTACTATTTCGCGCAGAAGATTTACCGCGCCGTGTCGAGGGAGCTTAAACGGCTCGACTCGCTTTCACGGTCGCCGCTGTATGCGCATGTTGGGGAGACGTTGACGGGGTTGCCGACGATTAGAGCGTACAGGGAGCAGAATCGGTTTGTGAAGCAGAATGACGCGATGATTGATACGAATAATGCGCCGTATTATTTGTTGTTTACTGCGCAGAGATGGATGGGGATAAGGTTGGAGACGTTGGGCGGGTTGTTGGTGTTTTTCGCGGCGACATTTGGGATTTTGAATAGGGTGAGTTGTGTGGTTTGGCTTTTGTGTGCTGGATGTGTCAGGAACTGACTCGCCCTTTCGTTTTCTGTCTACGGTTTTCAGACATCCGAGACCCTCTCTACGGCATTGCTCGGCTTGTCGATGTCGTACGCGCTTGAAGTCACCCAGACTATCAACTGGTGCATTCGTCAATTCACTGATGTAAAGTATTACTGTACGCTTCGTGGGTAACTTCTTTCTCAATCTCACCCACTTTTGTCTTACATCGACTAGACTGAAGTGGCCATGAACTCGGTCGAGCGCATCGAACATTACGCGTACAAGATCGACGTCGAAGCCGACGCCATCGTCCCATCCAACCGCCCACCACCCGGCTGGCCGCAGACGGGCGAAATCGAAGTCAAAGATTTAGAAATGAAGTACGCACCGGATCTGCCAACGGTGTTGAAGGGTGTATCCTTCAATGTCCGTGATAAGGAAAAGATTGGTGTAGTCGGCCGCACGGGTTCCGGCAAATCCTCCCTCATGACCGCCCTCTTCCGCCTCACCGAACCCACGGCGGGTAGTATCACCATTTCCGGCCTCTCCACCACCTCCATCGGTCTCCGCGACCTCCGCTCCGCCCTCGCCATCATTCCGCAAGATCCCGTCCTCTTCTCCGGCTCCTTCCGAACAAATTTGGACCCCTTCTCTGAGCACACGGACGATGAATTGTGGGACGCGCTGGGACGTGCGAATCTGAAGGGGAAAGTCGTTGGGGAGAAGGAAGGGTTGGAAGCGAGCGTGACGGAGGGTGGAGAGAATCTGAGTGTCGGGCAGAGACAGTTGTTGTGTCTTGCGCGTGCGATGCTGAAGAAACCTCGGATCATTATTTTGGATGAGGCGACCGCGAATATCGATTATGAGACGGACGCGATTATTCAACGGTCATTGAGAGAGGATTTTGCGGATGCGACTATTTTGACTATTGCGCATCGTTTGGTATGTATCTCCCTGTTCTTTCGTAACAGAGCCCGCTCATGGCTAAACCCTGACTTCACAACGAAACAGAACACCATCATCGACTACGACCGCGTGATGGTTCTCGACGCTGGCGTCATTGTCGAGTACGACTCTCCGCGCGCGTTGTTGGATATGGAGGGTGGAAGGTTTAGGGCTATGGTGGAGCAGACTGGTCCTGGAAATGCGGAGATGTTGCGGAGTTTGGCGAAGTAATTTTGCTGGGTGCATTGGTATACTGTATGATCAAAATGAACAGTCTTATATAATACGAATATGTTAAAGGATTGGAAGAACCGATTTTTGGATGTAATATGAGAATAACGGGCGTCGTTTGTGGATTACACTTTGCGATGAGTGTAGACCGCTGGAGAGGGCGGGAAAGGAGGAGGAACCTAAGTATTTATTGGGGGGACTGAAAACAACCACCAACAGCTGCAACAGCACGTTATCTTGCAAGCACCACACTACACTACTGCCGCTTTGGCCCAATTGTATCATATGTCGGGGGCACAGAAGCTTCATCGGGCAATTACCGTCTTGGGGAGCTTCTCGCCACCGGGGAATTTTTTCCATTTGAAACAGCCTTAGAAGTACAGGATACGTCGGGTTGTTCTGTAGTCTGGATACCGAACGAGGAGGTTGACGGTGGCGCGGATTGACAGATTTTGGTTGGTGGAAATTTGTGGCTGGTTGAACGCGTCCCTCTTCAGTTCACAGTCTGATTCACAGTCACTCCGTCTGAATATTTTCGGCATACCAAGCTACAAAGTCACCGCACACACAACAGTTTGAAGATTTTCGCCAAACCACCAGTCTCTTTGCCACAAATGCTTATCGACTCATCCCCCTCCCGTGTGCCCAGCCGGTCGTATAAATACTGTATCCGTAGGAGTTTTAGACAGCCAGATTCCTCTGCAACGATACGCAATGGGTTCGACATACAAACGCATTCTCGCCGAAATCCAAGAGGTTAATAGGGATTTCCATTCCCTCCGAACGCTCATCCAACCAGACCCAGATGGCAGTCTCCGTCTATTTTACTTTGTTATGATCCCAAACGATGGCGCTTTGGCTCACCAAACACTCATCGGCAAACTCGTCTTCAAAGACACGTATCCAGAATACCCTCCGTTGATTCATCTATTCACCGCAACTGGCCGATACAATGTCGACATGTACCGTTCGCGTCTCCAAGCCCGCAACCCCAGCGGGAGCACCATGTGCTTTGATATCCTGAGATCACGAATGGACGGAGGGACGTGGTCGGCCGAGTACACCGTCAGCTGTCTGTTTGCTTCGCTGATGCAGGCGCTCGTGAGTACGTACGTCCCACAAGAGTATGGAGGGGAGAAGGAGGAGTTTGTTAGTATGGAGCGGTTGGCGGCCGTCAAAAAGTACGTCGCCGAGGCGTTCCGGCTGTACGGTCACCTCATCCCCCGCGTCCCTGAAATTCCTACCATCGAGGCTGCCGCCATCGCCGCACGTCCTTTCACCTTCCCCACCGTTGACGCCACGACTTCATCCGCCTTCACCGTCAAAGACCTTGGACGAGAGGCCACCTTCACCAGCGCGCCGATATTCCTTCAAACGAACGATCCCGCCAATACCCACACGGTCAAAATCGACCTCAGCAACCTTCACGGCGGCATCATTTTTTCCGTGATACTGTCAAACAAGTGCACGGATTTTCAAGGGCGCCAGAAGGACACGATACTGATTCGCAACGGCGTAACCGGGACGGCGGCAAAGAAGCGGGCGGATGGTTACATGAGATGGTTTTACCACGGGAAACCCCTCAACGACGGGTCTTTAATCATCGCCGTCACGGTTACCGATAATCAATTCACCATCGCCTATGAGACGGAGAAGGGTTACGTCGTCCATGGTGACTGTCCAATCTCATACCTCACTCCCGCCGAGATCGGTGACGTCGCCGGCGTTCCCTTCTACCTCACCATATTCATGAAGGCCAAGTACGGCAAACCTGTGTCGCTTCCTATCCTTACTGACACCACCAACCCACTCGGGTATGTCCACGATCCGGCCTGTCAGATCATCCCGCCGCTTGATGGGTTTGAGCTCTGGGAGGTTTTGTTACGAAAGGCTGGGTTGGACGGGGCCGAGGAGCGGAGCGCGTCGGCATCCGACAAGGACGAATGGGATATTATCCCACGCCTTGAATCCCTCTCCATTTCTCCTCCTCGTCGTCGCACGCCGTTGTTTGTAAAACTGTCCATCACCGCAAACCAAACCGCCGCCCTTGCCGCCCGCCTCAAAAACCATATCGCATCCTCCTCCCTGCCATTCCCATACACGACCGAAAAGTCCCGCTCCACTCCCGCGCACTTGACGCTCTGTTTCAGCAAGGACTTGCCCAGAGATGACTTTGAACGGGTTGTCAGAGACGTCTATGAACCGCTTGCGGGCCAGACGTTTTCCATCCACATCGAAGGATGGGTGGCTGACCGCCGTTGCGCTGCGTATATCACGTCCGCTCCTGAGGGCGTTCCGGTGTACCCACAAGGCAAGGCATGTCATTTGACAATGTTTCTGGCTGATGGAGTGAAGCCGGTGTACTCGAATGAGCTGATACAGAGGGCAAAGGAGAATCTGGAGAATGGGGTGCTGACGGACGGGGAGAAGCTGGAGGTCTTCAAAGAGGGATGGGATGTGGACGCTGTCCTGGAAGTGGTGTATAAAGGGCCAACTGGGAGATGAGTGGCTGCTATGGAGCCCCGGGGAGAGGTGGGAGTTGGAGAGGATGGGTCTATTGAGATCTACTTTCTAGTTGTATCTTATCTCTTTACGTTACATATCATTGATTGTATCCAAATACACGCGGCCAAGTCTCCCGTTAAATCGCGTATCAAATGAAAAGCATGACAACAGTGACCCAACCCGTGGGATCTTTTCTCTGGCTGATGCGGGAAAGTTAATGGAATACCAAGAAATATTACTCTTTTAAACTTCTTTGTGTGGTTTTGCCCGAATCCAATTTGATGAACACCTGCTCTTGGATACCGGATGGGGTCCTTGTATACCTGTTGCGATTACCAGTCTTTAAGATTCCCGCCCACATTCTACGACGTTCGGCCCAAGCCGAGACCAAACAACGAGGCTCGGTCAGATTTACGGTGGTTGTACGCATCTTACACTGTCATTCCTACCGTTAGTCGGTAGCTGGAGGGTAAGGTATTGCAAAAAGGCCGAGACGTGCGTGAAGGAGGGCGAAAAGGTAGCCGAGGAAGGTGAGGCTGCAAAAGAGGGGAAGGACGAGACGGCGGTGTAGTACTTCTTTTGCCATGAGTGACGCCCCTCGCGAGGGTGGCCAGTCTGCTATCAAAAAAATATATAAAAAAAACTCCCCGACGGGGAATTGAACCCCGGCCTCCACGGTGAAAGCGTGGCATCCTGACCACTAGACGATCGAGGAGAGTTGAAAATTGCTCCGGTGCGGACCTTTATAAGGGCAACGCTACTAGCGACTAAAGTATTCTCCTCTATGCGTGGTCTGTGACTTCCTGCGGCCTTAAGGCCTTTCTCTCCCACAGTATTATTGTTTGAAGCGTTCTCTGTTCGCTTGAAAGTCATGAGGAGACGGGCTTGAAGAAGTAAACAAAGTACCTAAGTCGTATGAATGTGTCACAGTGGAGGCATTTATCCCGGGCCCCATCAATTTTTGGATCTGGAAGTTTTTTTTTTCAGAGGTTAGGGTATCCATAATCAGGTTATCACGCAAATATGCATTCATGATTGCGGAGCAACATCAAATCTCTGTGTAACGATCAACCATCTGACTGATTCCTTTTGGATAGCCATGCTGGAGGTGCGTTGTGTTCAACTGTTGTCCATAGACAAGTGCGCAAAGTGCGTCAAATACCGTATTCAAAAGGAGAAGGCCACAACAGAGGAAAAGTGGGGGAAAAGACAATCACGAAATTGCAATTGAGAAAAAAAAAAGGGAGGGAGGGGAGCAATCTCTCTAAAGAGCGACCAACCCTAGACGCTTCATCTTCCTTTGTGGGTTGCTGACGAGCAATGCAACTACTGCAACCTCAACCCGCGCCAACAACAACAACCGCAATGGACGCCCAACGCCTGCCCAACCCCGCTTCCACCACCCAGCTTCAAAAACAGCCCATCACTTACGAGCGTAAATACGCGGGCCACGGTGGTCGCTACGCTCCCTACAGACCGCCTGTCCCGCAGTCAACCCCGTCCACGGTCCGTGGTGGTGAAGACGAGCCGAGACTGGTCATCCTCCCTCCGAGAACCTCCGAGTCGAGAGAGAAGGATGGCGGTGAATTGACTCCTCAAGCCGCCGCGGCGGCGTCGAAGGTGTCCAACAAGTGCGCAAACTGTGGGACGACGTCGACACCGTTGTGGAGAAGAGGTCCGAAGGGAGAGGTTATCTGCAATGCCTGTGGTGGGTTCCCAAAAACGTTGCATGGACTGATTGACGTTACGCGTGGGAAAGTGTTAGCTGACGACTTCATTTTGCTTTTCATTTTATACAGGATTATATTTGAAGGCTCGACACACCTACCGTCCAACCTGGCTCAAACAGCGCCGCAAGCAGGATACGACGGAGGAGGAATACGCTCAGAATGGAGCGGGTGGGCCGGCGTTTGGGTCGTTCAAAACGACGGACACTGGCGCGGTCTCGCCTCGCGATATTGCACCTGTTGGACAGCCACGTTCAACTTCCCCTAATCCTACCATCTACCCTCCATCCTTGGAATCTACCTCGCACGCGGGGGCGTATATGATTATGCCGGGATCAGGATCATCAGCGGTTCAACGTCCCGAAACAATGCACTCCTCGCCAGACGTGCGTCACATGGAGATAGATTCGCCATCATCCCGCCATGAGGCTTCGGCTCCCAACCGCTTCGACGACGCCGCCACCGCCGCCGCGGTTTCTTCCGAATCGCAACCCGCTCGTGACCAAATGCAGTGTGTTAATTGCAAAACCAACAAAACTCCACTCTGGAGGAGAGATTTCAGCGGAAACCCGATCTGCAACGCTTGCGGATTGTATTACAAGCTGCACAATGCTCATCGTCCCGTTACGATGCAAAGAGCAGTTATCAAGAGGCGTAAGCGGGTACCTCCCACCACCACGATGGTCGTCTCTCCTTACGAAACCACCGTGTGGGCATCGGAACACAAGACGGGTGGTATGGCGGGCGGCGGGATGCGAGGAAATGAAAGCTTGGGGAGTGCTGCCGTGCGGCACGGAGCAGAGGGTTCGTTTGCACTCGGGCCACAAGTGCCTTCAAACTCCGGCGTAGCTTTGCCTTCCCTCAAATCCATCCTTCCGCTCGAATCTCTGACCGGAGCTCAACACCCCGTTAACCAAACAATCGGTTCTTCCGACAACACGCGCAACGATCCCGCCGTACCGCTTCAGAACGACCGGCCCATGTCCTCGTCATTACCGGACCCGTCGTACGGCAGGCCGGAGGTCACCACCGCGGACATAATCAGGCGCACTCGGGCAAAGCTTGTGGAGGAGATTAGTCAACTGAGTAATCTGCTTACGGAGAAGAGGAGTTTGTTGTTGGAGCTGGATAAGGCGGAACGACTGATGCCATCGGAGGGAGCGGCGCAGCAGCAGGAACAGGCGGAAGGCAGGAGGGTGGTGGGAATGGCCCACCAAAGGAAGGCGCCATCCGCTTTGCCGTCGGTGGAAGAGCTGAGGAAAGACCCAGCTCGCGTTCTCCCACCTCTGTTTGAGACCGTTTCGCCAAACGGACACCATCATCAACCCCCACCTTCCAAAACGGATCCGTCCGCACACATTCAGCAAGCTTCTGCGCTGATGACTTTGGCTTCCCTCTGTGGATAGCATAATTTAGAGCTTCACGCTATTTTTGCGATCTCCTTTTTCTTCAAAGAACACGCTAGGTTCAATACCTTACCACATCCGTACCTTACCACATCCGTTATGTTTTGTGTATATATATATTGCAATGTCGTTGGCAAAACAGAGTTTTTATCAAAATTCGCCATCAACAAATTGCAGTTGGGATCTGCGTTTGCATTTGGAAACCCGAGTGAGTCTTTTACGTCACGTGATAGCTTATCAGATGATTTGGATGACTGTGCCTGCATGATATATAACGCATCTCCGTTCGTTCACCCTTTCGCTGTCCCGTCTTCGTCCAGATTCCGCATGAGTTTGAATTTCCCAACGCCCACCTCACCCGCTGCTCACGGCTTGCACGCTACTACAGGGACCGGTGCCCCAAACGGGTCCGATGTTCCTAACGGCATACCAGAAGCGCAGGGCCAGGGGTCGCCGGCGTTGGGAGGACAAAACCACCAGCAGCAGCAACCGCAAGACTCGCCCATGGCGCTGGGAAACGGGTTCGCCGACGAAGACACAGACTCGGAAGACGGCCATTCCAAACCCTCGGACTCCACCCGCTTTTTCCATACCATCCTCCAAATGTGCTCCCAAGGGTTTGCCTCGATAGACTCTGCTGCGTACACGCCGGCATCGAGGCGAGCGATGCTGGCTTGCCAGTTGGGGATGGACTGTATCGCTGCCCTGGGAACGGGTGAAGAGCGGGATGTGGTGGCGAGGGTTCGGAGGTTGAGCGTTGGGTCGTTGGATTTGGATCAATCGAGTTTACCGAAAGTCCCGCCACGACCGCGACGAAGGTTTCGGCCTCCGTTGCCTGTCGAAATCCTGTACCGTATCTTCTCGTATGTGCGCGGGCCTCAAGGGGGTTACATCCATAGTCGTGCTGTCCGAACGCTGTTTTCCTGCTCCTTGGTGGCCCGCCACTGGAACCCGCCCGCGAACGCGGCGCTCTGGCAGCGTATCCACATGGTAGATCAACCGTCCCGGTTTGGCCGGTTTGTCCTGGGTGCAGCCACCAGCAAGTACAATAAACGGGACTGTGGGCCTCTAGTCCGAGTGTTGAGCGTGGCGTGCACGGACGCGGATCTCTCTGTCTTGACCGTAGCGTGCCATCACACGTCCGAGCTCCACTCTCTCGAACTGCATCGCACGTCGACGCCCGATGCCGGTTCTTTTCGTCTCCTCCCGCGGTTACGTAACCGATTTCCGCAACTGCGGTCCTTGATTGCCGATATGGTGCATCCATCCGCTTGGCTAGATGTCATGGAAGTATGTCGAACGTGCCCGCAGTTGCAAAACTTGCATATCAGTTTCGCCACGCTGGATTCGCAGGAGCCGTGTCAACCCTTGTCGGCGTTCGACCTCACCGCCTTGTTCTCAGCCATTCCGCATCTTCAATCTCTTAGTCTGTGGCGTGTGCCGTTACCTTCAGAACGGGGCGCCGTGACCAGCGCCCTCGCGTCTTATTGTAAGGATTTGCGCGCGATTCGGTTGGACGATTGTGGGCGGGATTTGAGCATGGATTTGGTGGTGGATCTGTGGAACGCGTGTCCTCGGTTGGAATGCATCACGTTGCGGATGATACAGCTTCCACCGACATCGAACAGCGCCACATTATTAAATCCGCTACCTTTCCTGCGCACATTGCTGATAGACGGATGCTGGCTGACGGACAACCTATTATCGGAAATGGGAGAGAAAGCGCAAGCACTCGAAACCCTCTACGTTGAAAACGACTGGCGCCACGACCGCAACGGCGGGTGGGTCGTCCGTCTCACCGACCTAGGCTTCACCACCATATCCGCACACCTCCATAACCTCAAAGCCCTGAGCCTCGTCGGCCTAACCGGTTCCACACACATCTCTCCATCTTCTATCCAAACCCTCCTAACCCACAACCCATCCATAACAGCCCTCAACCTCGCCCGCCCCGCCCACGCCGAAAGCTTCCTAACCGACACCTTCCTCTCCTCCATCGCACCTTACCTCTCCAACATCCGCACCCTGGAACTCTACATGCAAACCAAACTCACCGAAGACGCGTTACTCGATTGCCTCTCCCACACTCCACACCTCCTGACGTTGGGTCTATCAGGGTGCGGCCAAATCACCGACGCCACGCTGGGGATGTTGCCGCCCCTCTGTCCCTCGCTCGAGCGGCTGGATATGGCGGGTGCGGTGCGGTGTACGACGTGGGGGGTGCAGAGGTTGGTTGATTCGGCGGGACGGTTGAGGGAGTGTGTTGCGCCGGAGGTGCAGGGGGTGAGGTGGGGGAAGGTCATGTGTTTGGATGATCCATGGTCGGAGGAGGTGTTTTCGCCGTATGGGGTGTGGGAGAGGGAGGTGAGGAGGATTGCGAGGGTGAGTGGGTTGGTGTATTGAGGTCGGAGGCGGTCAGCTACGGGTTTGATGAGAGGTTGGGCTGGTGGTTGAGTTGAAGGACCTTTTTAGGCAACCCCACTGTGCATAGCAATTCAACGATTCTGTCACCCGTCCATGCCCAGATTTTTGCAGTGATTTGGAATGAACGGAAAGTACGATGACCCCGGCACGCTAAGGTG